AAGTTTCCACTTGTTTTTGCTATTTTGGTGGATATTGGAGTATGAACGAGGAAAAAGTCGGAGATAAGAGCCGTCTGCGTCTACCTTTCATATTTAGCATAATATAAGATATATTTTTTCTACAAATTATATCTCAAAGATTTATCAAGAACATATGGAAGGCTATCCTTCCACCTTATATAAGCTCCCAGTATCCATGCGTCTTGAACATGTAAGCTGCATCAGGTAGGAGACCTGGGATTGAGATTTTCCTTCATTATCTGAAGCTATGTAGATGGGAAGTTAATTAATTAGAGCTGTTTTTTATTTATCTTCTCCTCTTATGCTTAGCCCCCCACCCTGCTTCTTTCTGATCGTCGACAACCTCCGAAAGATCCAGCCTAAGGCAGGGCGGCGGAAACGAAGAGTGAATCTGCGGAAACGGTGCTCGTCAGGGAGATCCGTACTCAAGAACAATTCCAGGGAAGAGAGGTCCCTCGCCTGAAGCTCTATCCATCGTCTCATTGAACTCCTTAGTACTGCTCCTACCGGTTCTACTCGTGCTATCTTCGTCCGCATTGCCTGCAACCCCAACTGCGTCTGCTGCCCAGCTTGACAAATGCGGCCTCCGCAAAGAAAGGGAGTAATGGGGAACAGGCTGCAATGGGGAAACCGGGTTCACTGCCGCTGCTCTGCAGTGAGGGGCCTCCAAATGGTCCAACGAAAAAGTGAAAAATGGGGCAATGTGATCTCGTCATTCACGCGGCAAAGAAAGCTGGTACTTCTCTTCTGTCCTTTCCTCTCTTCTTTACTAGAGATAAGAGAGAGAGAGAGAGAGAGAGAGAGAGAGAGTCTCTCTCCTTTTCTTCATGTGAATGGACTTGACCGGACAACAATTACGCAGATACAGCATGTGGATCGAATATCTCTACAAATTGATGATTTGAACTGTCCCTACCCAGCACGATTACATAAAATAAATAGTATCTTAAGATCAGAAGATCGAGGAGATGGGCACTTACAACCCTTACGTAGCAACCTAAGCCCCAGCAAAAGTCTCCAGCCTTTTATCGCAGCACCTCACAGTTTCTGCAGTTCATCTCAATCGACTTCATTCACAGTACCCAAAAAGAACAAGGTGCAGTTGTCGTCACTGGCGGCAGGCATCCCCTCTAGCTCTCCTCTAGTTGAACAAGAGGATGAGCTATCTTCTCCTTCGATGGTTAGAGACAACGGGAAGACAACAGTTCCCAGCAAACAACCGGCTCTCCTCCTCCTCCTCAGTCTGTGAGTCCATTTTCAATGAAGAAAAATACAAAAGAAATGAATTCAACCCGTCGACCCACTGTGGCAGACTCTCACGCAGCCCCAGATCGGTAATTCACCACTTGCTCTCTCATCACATCAACTTAAGAGAAATAAATAGTGAAATTTCTCATAAACTCATTTCCCGCCATCACATAGTGGAGAGAAACCGAAAGGAAGTGTGGTCATAAGTTCATCATTAGTGTTCGAATGTTCTCGTCTTTGTCGAGAGAAATCAAGTTATTTACCAAAAACCTAATTCTACACGGCGAAAAAGAGAATGCTAAAAGTGAACATTGTGTCCTGTTGACTGTTAACATTATAACATTTATAATATTTATTCCGGGCAGTTAAACTTATTAGGCTATTATACCCAAAATCAATAGACAACAAGGGGATTATGTTAATAAGTTTATTTTATTATCAATCACTATTGAGACTATTCCCAACAAGACTTGAATGGTGTCAACATTATTGAGTCATCAAACTCAAGATCAATTGCACATCTTTTGAATAATCACGTTTACTTTTTTAGTAGCTATTACATTGTCATTTTTAAAATCAGTTTAGGAGTCTACTTTCCACTAGATATCAATTTGCGTAGCCTTGAATGATTTGATCGTTTCACGATTGCAGTTATTGATGTGATTGCTACAGAACTGAGATGTAATGAGCTTGGAGAGTTGCTGAAAAATATCGCCCAACCTCGTGGATGGACATGATGCGACTTCAAATTAGCTCTGTAGAAAATAAGACGCCTAGCGCACCATGGACCATTCAACTATTTTAGAAAGAACCAATGATCTCGTCCCTTCCTCACCTCCAACCCTCTCTGCTTGGATCCTTTTGCCCGACCCAATTCGTCGCGGGGTCTACTGAGAAGCTGAGCTCAGGTTTTCAGACGGCAGGATCTGAACAATCATCACTGGTCCTAGATATGCGTTTCATAATTGCGGGGGGAAAGAACTACGTGTGAGAACACACCGTTCCCGGTCCAATGCTCCGCCATCCGACACAGAAGGAGACGTATGAGGGCCATCGTTCCCTCAATTAGGACAAACAAACAACCACAAAACGATCGGAAGGAGAGAATCGTATCGTCCCTTGCTGATTTTCTTCGTTATATATTATCATTGTCGCCCATGGGAACGCGTGTTTAATAACCAGCCACGCCCAATTCGTCGTCGTCCTCCTCCTGACTCTCACTGGTTTTCAAATCACTCTGAGACAGCCAAACCCCAAGGTCGAGGGCGAGAGAGGAAAATGGAGAAGGAGACTTCTAACGACGGTTTTATCGCGAGAACGCGATAAACGGACGGACGCAGGTAGTCTCGCGTAAGCTTTGCATCGTTTGACCACTCTTTTGTTTTCTCCCCTAAAACTTTGTAGTCGCTGCTGCAACAATCGTCCCTTCATTTTAAATCATGGTTGTTAAGAAGGAATCCTAGGCGTAGTCATAAGGACCGATCAAGAGCAGCCGGAGCGAGGGCAACGAAAGAGTGAATATGCAAAACGACCCAGCACACAGTTGTTACAATGTTAAATGAAGGTAGAAATTAGGAAATATCCGATTCCCTTCTCTTCGTGTAATGAGAGAGGAAAAGGGGAAGTCTGTGCGAGTGGCGGAGAGACTCTCTCTCTCTCTCTCTCTCTCTCTCTCTCTCTCTCTCTGGGTAGAATCCGGCTTGAGAAAGAGGGAGAGAGAGTCTGCCCGAAATAGAATCCGGCTTCACCGATTTTACATGGATGTAAGGAATTCTAGTCTTGTGAAAAGAGGTTGCATCGGCTGGCCGATTGAGTAAATTAAATTACACGAAGAAACCTTATTATGAGGCAACTAAATCCCAGCATATTAACGGATAATTAAACCGATAAACTCACCACGTCCCGAGATCACCGTCTTATCGTTTCTTCTTCAAGCTGAAGTCCCGTTGAGGACGAAGAGGGAAGCACGGGCTGCGACTGGGTTGGCGCAAACTTTTCCCGTCTATTTGACCTGTTCAAGCCCACAGAAAATGGGCCTGCGTAGGTAGGCCGCTCTCTCTCTCTCTCTCGCTCTCTCTCTCTCTCTCTCTCTCTCTCTCTCTCTCTCTCTCTCTCTCTCTCTCTCTCTCTCTCTCTCTCTCTCGCTCTCTCTCTCTCTCTCTCTCTCTCTCTCTCGCTCTCTCTCTCGCTCTCTCTCGCTCTCTCTCTCTCTCTCTCTCTCTCTCTCTCGCTCTCTCTCTCGCTCTCTCTCGCTCTCTCTCTCTCTCTCTCTCTCTCTCTCGCTCTCTCTCTCTCTCGCTCTCTCTCTCTCGCTCTCTCTCTCGCTCTCTCTCTCACTCTCTCTCTCTCACACAGCGGTCTCCACCTTTCGATGTGCAGTCAAAGTCACCTGTCAGAAGAAGTCCACCATAATTAATGTCTTGTGAGCAAATGTCAACTGGTTGAGGGTCCCTCGCCATAAGTGCTAATCCTGCCGTAAACTCCTCTTAATTAAGATTGACTGCTTAATCTCTGGGCGTTCTAGTTTTTTTCTATCTAGGGTTGTACTCTGAGATCAATGTCACCGTGCGCCGTCATAGATTACTCACCCGCAGACACATCTCCCAATTCACACGAACGCCTTAAAGTCAACTCCAGCATGAGAAATAAGTTTGGCCCGACCTACTTCTTATCCAGGCCCTTACCGAGAGTCATCGATAGTCTGACCCAGAAGTCAATATTTCATACATTTTCTTGCCCTAGGGTCAACCCTCAACAACCTATGCAACGGCTCATAGCATTAGTCAAACTCCTAGCCTGTTTCCTTGGCTTTTCTTCGGGCCCAAGCTAGAAGCGTGCTCGTGAAGGACCCGATCAAGTTCAATTGATTATGGCTTCAAACCTGACCGGCGAAAAAATAACTTGGCCTCTCTCTGCACCGCCTGACGGAGACTACTCGCTGACGAAAAGTTAAACCCACCTCAGTTGCGCGGTCGGTGGGCCGCACTCTACTCGGAAGGGTCAAAGCCACCTTCCCTTCCCACCACACTCACCCACACCATCTGATACGTATCAATGACATCTATCTAGTATAATTTTAGTACCAGAAATATGCTCGCATAAGTAGATATCAGCCGTTCTTTTCCTTTGCCCACTTCAAACGTTCTTGATATAAAACTAATCCTCCAGGGAGAGGAGAACGGAGTGGGAGCAAGCCACCCAAACCACCCACCCAGCCACTCCGTTTATCGTTCCACTAACGATAATAAAACCCATGCCACCACTAATCAATTAATTAAGCTCACCGGTGCCCCCGGCTCTCCCCGTCGCCGCCGGCACCGGAGGGGGGCTATGGGGAGCGGCGGCGCCGATGGGAGTAACGGCAGGCCCGCCGGAGAGAAGGGGAAGCTGGCCAATTATGGCGCGGTCAGACTGTGACGGCCGGTTGCCAGGACTTGGGTGTCGAAAGATCCGAGCTTTAACTGCCGCAAGCTGCAAGCTAGTCATTAATGTCCATACACTGTAGGCTTCTCAGCTCACAAGGGAAGCTTTCGGAGAGCAGAAGGAGATGGATGTTACCGGAGAGAGAGAGAGAGAGCATACGGCGACCAAAAAAACCTTCCGACAGAAGGGAGAGACGGCGTATGATCAACTGAAAGGAAAAAGGATGAACAAGTGAGGAAGAAGGGAGAGAAAAAAACCTAAAACTGAGGGTTTCCTCTTGTTCTTCTGATTTCCACCATCCGGCGGTCTCACGGCGAGGGGCACCAGAGGTTCCAGAAACGAGAACCGAAGAGGCCCATCACGTCCATCCACGGCCTCCTCTTCTCGCTCCCCAGCGGCTGGGAGAGAGCCGCCGCGTCGATACTGCTATCTCCCTCGTCCTCGAGCTCCGTCCCGAGGCCCAGCTCCGCCCCCGGTACCACCTCTCCCGAGAAGACCTCTGCCTCCTCTCTTTCCTCTGTGAGGAGGGAGCTCCTCGCATGGCCATGGCTGGGTCCTCCCTCCTCAGACGGAGGTTTCTCATCCTCTTTAACCTTACCCGGCTTTCTCCTTCCATTGGGCTTATCTGACCGGTCGCTGAAGCGCCGGTCTCTACGCCGACCGCCCTTGCCTCCGGCATGGCGTTGCTCCGAGCTAGCCAGGTGCTCCTCGAAGGCCTCGATGGCCTGGTGGATGAGCTCACGGTCGGGGGAGGAGTCCCAGCGGAACCAGTAACTGGTGTAGCAATCGAAGCACCCGCAGTCGAATAGGGCCTGGTGGTGACCCTGCCTTCGGCACCGCCGCCTCTCCTCCGCCACCACGGAGCACGGCCCCTGCAACGACCGCGTCACCAAGTACGCCAGCACCTCCTTGTCCTCCGCCCCCAGCGCCGCCGTGAGCGCCAGGATCGCCGCCGGCAGTAGATTCAGCACGGTCACCGCCTCTCCCGCCCCGCCTCCGGTGGCGCACGACGGCGAGGGGTGGATCTTCCCCTTGCCTTTGGGATACAGAGTCTTCATGTCCGTCGTCAAGCTCCCACCTTTCCGCCTCCCCCTATCCACCCCCCCCTTTTCTCCTTTCGGCGGAAGAGATTAGGGTTTTTATCTCGGCCCTCGACACCCAGAGAGAAGGAGATAGAGAGAGGGAGAGTGTCGCTGTTGGGGGCGTATGTTTGCTTTTCATTTCTTCTTTAAATGATTCGCTTTCTCAGGTCCCCAGGCCTCGGTTTTACCTCTCCCGCCGCCTCAGCCCTTGCAGTAAAACCCAGACTCCCCCTGGCCCCCCCCACCGGCCGGTCTCATCTTCTTCTTCCCGCTACGCGACGATCCCCCCGTCAGCAGCCTTCCCCAGGTGAGCAGAGACGACGCCAGCCTACGTACGGCCCTCTTAGCCTCAGCACCCTCCCTCGTCCGTCCGATCCTCTTTATCTCCATCTGGGTCGGCCCCACCTCCGCATATACCGCCGCTCTCTCTCTCTCTCTATCTCGCTCTCGGTATTTATCTCGGAGACTCCAGTTGGAGGGAAGAAAGGGTGGATGGCCCCGAGAGGCCCGTGAGCGGCGACCTCTCCCTCTCTCTCTCTCTCTGGCATCGCGACAGGGGTGGAAGGCGGGGAGGGGGCTGGCGGACCCCGGCGGGGCGCAGGCCGGATGGGTTGCGGGGCCCGCTTTCGGACAAGGAAAATATAATATTGTTCACAGCAAAATTTTAAATACGGCAGAAAAAATGGCCTGCCGGAGATTCGGACGAGGACAGAGATAAAATAGTTGGGTAGTTAGTGTGATAGAATACTCGGGTTCCTGTGCGCCAAGGCCGCCGCTCCGCCCACCATTAGTCTGGTTAGTGTTCGCGAGGAGATATCCAGGCCCGACCCATGTCCAATGAGCCCAGTAGGCCGTCCTAGCTCTGTTCTCTCTCTCTCTCTCTATCTCTCGCTGAAATATATTATGTATAAGGATCGATTGATGCATCTAATTCGAAATGGATTTTCGATTCGAGAAGGGCATTTTGGTCATGTCAAGAGCTCTTTGGATCTATATCACGCTAATCAAACAGGAAAATAACTTTATTGCGGCGTAAAATCTGATTAATTGAAAAAAAACCATGCAAAATGGCTGAGCATTGATCGATGAACTTCCTACTTCGAACATATCCTTGCATTTTTCTTTTTATTTTTTATTTTTTTAAGCATACAACTCCCAATAAAAATATCGCATTTCATTCATTAACACCATCCATCCTCATCGAATACATCAAATAAAGAATAAAAACCACACGAACAACGAACCTGTAAAATATGTAAAATATTGGTAATAATTACATTAACATTAAAACAACGTGTCCACTAATAAACCCAGAGCCACCAATTCCCCATAATTAATAAAAAACATTAAATTACTCAGTCATAAATCCTCATTATGTTGGGTTTTGATGATATATATAAAAAAGGAGCGGATTTAAATTTTTTTGTGCATGATTATGATCGCCCCCTTCTCTCTCCTCGACGAAGCTATGGATCTCAATCCTACTGAACTTTCCGTTTTGGGTTCTTGGATGCACATATCGAGGGGCTTCCACATCTCGTGTTTTTTAAAGCATTAGCTGTCAATCGAAACAACTACCCGGGAATCAATTCCCTGGGCTGGGCGTTGGTTGGGAGTTGATTGCTAGTTGGGTGGGGGGGGGGGCGGGGGGCGGGGGGACGTGGCTCCCAAGTAAGCGACCCGCCCTGGTCGATTTGGCCCGTCCGATCGAAATACTCTGGATGTTTGTGCGATTTATCCGAATATCAGCCACCGAGGGATTATTATGCACACGAAGCAACGTTGTGCGAACCAGGAGGATTCGTTATTTTCCTTTATTGGTGCGATTATAGGATTATTGGTTCAATAACCTGCACATATATTGCATAATTTTACTAGTCTGGAGGGTTACTCTAATGGGTCGGCCCGGCCCGGCCCGGCCCGGCCCGGCCTAGCCGGGTTATTTAACTACCGGTCGTCCTTTGCGGGTGCAGTCCGTTATTTGTATTGATTAACTGCAGGGAGACGCGGCTGCGTAAAGAAAATCTCCTATTTATAAGTTGCCCCATCGCGGAAGGAACAAGGATCTTCCTCTCCTCGCTTTGCCGGCAGCCGTGAAGATGTGGGCTTTGGCTGGGAAGCCGTGGTACGTGGCCATCGCCGCCATGGTGCTTGTCATCGGAGGGCTCTCGATCTCCAGCTTCGTGCGGAGCGGCGACCGCGCTCTGCTGTGCTCGTTCTCCGCCGCCAACAACCCCGGCGTACGCTTCTCCGCCCCCGCCGGCGGTGCCCCCGTCAAGGGGGCGCAGCTGACGGAGACGATCCTCCACTACGCGACGTCGGGTATAACGCCGCAGCAGTCGTGGGCGGAGATCAACATCACGCTCACCGTGCTGCGGGAGCGCGCCCCCTGCAACTTCCTGGTCTTCGGCCTGGGCTTCGACTCGCTCATGTGGTCGGCCTTCAACGCTGGTGGGAAGACGCTGTTCCTGGAGGAGGATCCCAAGTGGGTGGACACCGTGCTCAAGGGGGACAAATCCCACTTCCTCCGGGCGCACACCGTCAAGTACCCCACGCAGCTCCAGCAGTCCAACGAGCTCCTCCGCTCATACAAATCTGAACCGGGTTGCCTCCCACCGAAGACCTTCCTGAAGGGGAACCGTCGGTGCCGGCTCGCGCTGCCCGATCTGCCGCAGGAGGTGTACGAGACGGAGTGGGATCTGGTCATGGTGGACGCTCCCAAGGGTTACTTCAACGAGGCCCCAGGAAGGATGGGGGCGATCTACTCGGCGGCGGTGATGGCGCGCAACCGGAAGGGGAAGGGCCTCACCGACGTTTTCCTCCACGACGTCAACCGACCGGTGGAGAGGACCTACGCCACGGAGTTCCTCTGCAAGAAGAACCTGGTCGACGGGACGGGTCGGCTATGGCACTTCCGGATCCCGCCGGTGAGGGACGAAGGTGCCGAAGCTACCAAGAGCTTCTGCTAATTCTCCTCCCCATTTCACAAATTTTCTCGCTAGCACTTCAGATCCACCATCCACCCCGCCGGCGAAATCTCGCCGCCGCCCCCGCGAGAGGTTGAAGAAAGAGTCCACCCACCGCCCGCCTCACTCGGTCTCCGGCCGCCGTTAATGGAGATTAATCCGGACTGAATGCCCGTGGGGAGACCCTCCGGCAGTGGGAACACTCTCTCTCTCTCTCTCGTTCTCTCTCTCTCTCTCTCTGAGTGGACCGGCCGGGACCGGCCGGGAGTGGAATTAGTCGCAAGTTAGGGTTTTTGGGATTTCAAGATGCCGCCGACTGGGCGCTGGCGGCAGACTGAGGGGCGGGGGCCCATGGACCGTTCGATCACGACATCTAACGGTGTCAGATTGCGGTCTAGTTTAGCGGCATATACGTCATGTATCACGTCATGGATATATCAAAGACTGCTTAGATGCTCCCGCTCACAGATATTTTCTCAGTGATAACCCGCGGTAGGTACTGACGTGCTGACGTGGACACTTGTCCTTCGCGGCAATATCGCTAGTGGGGCCACCGAGGCCCGTATTCGCTTCAAGTGAGCGCCATCGCGTGCCCGTCTCTCTCTCTCTCTCTCTCGCTATCTATCATCTATCCGGAATCAGCCAATGGGACCCATTTTGGGCTTTACCATGAGCCAGGATGTCAAGCCTAGGCCCAAAATGACATCTTGGGACCCGAACTTATATCTTATCCCCCCACGGTCAGAGAGAGAGAGAGAGTTTTCATTATAATTTAAAATAGTAGATACTATAAAAAGGATAGACTAAGATCGACGGCTCCCATCGTGGTCGCCCTCGGGCTTCGAGAGTAGTCCCACAGCCCGTCCGAGTACCGTGGGCCGGGATCCCCGGCAGTCCCGTCGGTCAACGGTGGCGTGGCCGGAACGGCCTCCGTCTCTCCTGCCTTCTCTCTCAAGGGAGCCCAAGCTGAAGCGTTGTGCATTGGGTTGTGAGAGGGAGGGAGATGGTTTCTAACAGAAAGCTTCTCCTCATCTTCTTCCTCGTGGCGTCGACCATCTCCCTCATCTGGATCTTCACGTTCACGATCTCCGCAACAGCATTCTCCTGACTCTCGCCGTCATGGCGTCTCGCAGAGCCCTCCTGACGCGTTCGCCCTCAAGGACGTCCGTCGCCTCTCTATTATCATCTCACTAGATCGCCGTAGCTTCCTCTTCTTCGAACTCCGTCGTCAACCTCTCCTTCTCCGGCGTCAACGTCGGAGGGCCGTCTTACTCGAGGAAGTCAACGTAAATCTCAGCGTTGCTCCTCTAGAATGCCCATTCGTGGGCGCTGGCGTTATCGAGGCTGCCCACGGAGGTCTGCGCACGTGATTGGAACGTGATTGTAGCGGATGGATCGGAAGATGAATCCGGGAAGGATGGCGGCGATCTGCACCGCCGGGAAGACGACGGAAGGCAGCACAGGCCATGCCCACGAGTTGGTGAGCAGATGCCTGCGGGCTCCCACGACGTGTTGCCGCAGAAGGTGGGAACGTGGTAGCCCATGGTGTGGATCGGACTGTGGGGAAGCGGTAGAGGCGGAAATTCTTCTCCCATGAGGAAGTACCTGGTCTCCTTAAAAAGGGAAGCAATGGCATTTCGGGATCCCGGGCGACTAGACTTCTTCTGGGTTCTGCGGAAAGGGAGACCGCTTCTTGGAGCGGCCGCCGTCTTCTTCCTCCCGAGGAATTCATCGTTCTCGAGGATTCTCTGCTTAAAAGTATTATCCTTAAGAGTCAATAATCCTCTCTTCTCATCCTGTTGATCTTCCGCGAGTTCGGTGAAACTCGGTCTAACATGAAAAAATCAATGGAATTTGAATTCGAAATATACGAACTGGCTCGAGAAATCGAAGATCGGGTGTTCTGTTTGTAGATCGACGACGATCATTGGCGACGAAAAGGGGAAGTATGAAGAAAGTGAAGTTAATTAATTAACGAAAGGTTTCCACTTTTATATAGGTTTGCACCCTGTACTATAACGCCCAGGAGATTCTTCACGTTAGCGTAAAGGTTTCCCCCCTTTCCGGAAATACTGTAAATCTTGTGATACCATTCGAGAGGTTGTGGCTTGGCGATCCATCATAGAAGGACCAACTACTTTTTTTATCTATGGTGAGTGGAGGAAGTTGGGGAAGCAGGAAAGTTCATGAGGCAGCAGAATTGGATAAGTCTTGAGAAGTAGAGAGAGAGAGAGAGAGAGAGAGAGAGAGAGAGAGAGAGAGAGAGAGAGAGAGAGAGAGAGAGAGAGAGAGAGAGAGAGAGATGAGAGGCATACTTCCATTGACCTAAAAATATTACGATTGATTGTTCGATGCATTTTCTCATTGACAAGGCTACAAGGTCTAAACTGTGACGACTCTTGCATGACGTTTCATTTCTAGTATCTACTTACAGACCTGTGGCTTCCATGATCATATATCGAAGAACCCCAACTGACCCATGAGCTATCTTTTGGATGAACATTATTATTAGCATAATATTAGATCATCTTCCCCTCGTTGACTTAAATATAGAGAACTAGAGAAAGGCATTTCGTCGGAAGCTGATGCAGCTACATTTAGTCCTCATGGTTTATAAAGATGATCACCGCAATGGGTTGTATTAGCCCGATGGGCCGGGGGAGTGTTTTGGATGGGGATGATCAATGATGAATATATATGACGGTGAAAGGGCGGGTTGATGAGAGCCATTAGTCTTTACGACTAATAATTAATTGCCAAATTCGACGACTTCCCTTAATGAGATCAATCCTTAGACATAACCCTTGCTGTTGCGTCAACGCAAGATCAAGGACAACGTGAACCCAGCCCTCTTTCTAATTTCGAGTTCTTTTCTCGGCGCATGTTGGTTTTCTAGGTCTATAAGTTCTGGGGAATGGGATGTTGTTCCTCTATTCTTTTCCCCTTTCTATCTTCTCCACCTTCTCTTCCTTGTCTTGCTGCCTGCCTCTGCATTATTCCTTCTCCAGCTTCTTGAACGCCCCTGGAAGAAACTGCTTCTGCCAGTTCAATATAATCCGGAGATCATACTGAAAGTATTAAGAAATTCGAACTCCGAGGCTTTTATGGAGACTACTGCTGCACTTGTTCCCCTATAGGCCTAGCATTTCTGCATCTATACTTTTTGCAGAGAGATGATGAATGATGACTATAAATGCTACTTCCAATAGTTGCTTGAGGTTTTACTAGGACACAGAGAGTCTTGTGGGGTGGGGCACCTACATTTTCCGGCAGATCTTCGTCTATATTTTTGTCTATTTTTCGAACTTTTTGATTGAACAGCGAGGCAGATCTCTAGTAGCTTCTTGTTCGCTATGATGTACAGATTCTTCCAGATTCATAAAATCGGGTTACTCTCATCTTTCGCTGAGACCTGGCAAGATAATCCGAACTATGTAAAATACCAACTCTACGTTTCTATGAGAATGGAAGTGGTAGGCATGATCTCTCCGATATAATTATTTTCGAATGATTCAACACCCCGTCGTTGAAAATGGAGTGAGGGATAGATGAATCACAGCGAGAGAGAGAGAGAGAGAGAGAGAGAGAGAGAGAGAGAGAGACCAGGCACTTTGAAGTTTCGCATGCATGTGGTCAGGGATGTTGCACTGAAAAGCTCTCTCCTTCTATCGCTGGACTTGGGCGTCTCAAAATTCGCTGTTTCACATCTTCTATATTTCCCAGTCCATCAGAAAATTAAATCAGGAGGGTAGAACAAAAGCCCCCGGTAGAGAGCATCCAACGGAGATGGCCTTTCTTCTATGAACATGGCTTAGGTGGGGATGGAGGGGTGGGGAGTTGATGGGGAAGGGGGATCTCATGGCCTAAACCTTTGCCGGCAAGCCTGGCAAGTAACCTCCGTACACGTAGAGCCAACCATTCGCGTAGCCATCTCCTTCATCTTCTCCACCTTGTCCACCTCTTCCCGGGCCCTCTCCCACAGCAACCTTGCCCGCGCGAACTCCTTCTCGGCCATCTCCATCTCTCTCCTGGTTAGCTCCCGCACCCGCTCGGCGTAGGCCTTCTCGGCCGCCGCCAGCCGGATCTGCTTGGCCGCGTGCAACTTCAACGCCTGGATGGTCCTCCCGCTCCCTGCGCGTGGCTTCGGCACCGGCACGACGCCGATGGACAGGCTGAGGTCGAGGTGGTCGGCCGGGTCCGGCGGCGCCTCCTTAGAGGCGGGAGCCCAAGGGGGCACGCAAATGGAGTGCATAGGGAGTAGCTGTAGCTCTCTTTCGCAGTCTCCCCCTTCCATTGCCATCTCTTAGAAGTGGACAGAGAGGAGAGGTTGCTGGTGACTGGTGGTGATGGGAGACGGCGGCTCCCGCTATGTACTGCGCCATCCGGTAATGGAGTTACCGTAGTGCCCATGGGGGTGCATGCATATACAAATAACGTGGGCATTTGAGCTTGGAAAAGGAGAAACACATGAGTAGCGCCTTTTCTCGCTGGCTTTAGTGGCTATCCAGTTCCCTTTGCCCTGGTTTGGGCTGGCAAAGGAACAAGACGGCGGAAGGGAGGCCACCATGTCTGATCCAAGGCCGGACTTTCCCTTTCTTCTCCAGCTCTACTTCCAAATTTTATAATAGTTTCCATGCATTAACCTCCTCCTCGACCCAGCAGAACCCGTCGATCCAAGATGATAAGGATCTCTAAGTCGTATTAATTCACGAGGAATGACCAGATTGGACGCATAATATGTTAGGGGGAGGGAGGGACGAGCGCCGGTTGCTCTCGGGAAAGCATGAATGTGACGTTGATTAAGATTCACGTTGACAAAGCTGACGGAATCGTTGGGGATCCGTGGGAACGTCGACCTCCCAATGAGTAGCTTCGTTCATGTTCCTTACCGGTTACAGCTCCAGAGTCGTGCTTTATTTTGTTTCTCTTTGGTAATAATTCATAGCTGAATTATTTAATTAAAGGGTAGCAATTGTTCAATTAAGTTATGAGAAGGGTGACTTTTTTTTCTGGATTTAATTGTTGAATTAAATCTCGGAACAGATTAGAACGGTTCATATGGGCCTAATCTCTATGCCGGACAGGTCCAAAATTTAGTCGGTTTGGTGCGGAAGATTCCCAGACTCGAGTTAGGCATGAAATGACTCGATCCTAATCTGGCGCGGACGTTGATACTCCGTTTGATGAACTTCAGGATTTTTTAATGTGCATACCAAAGTACTGATGATAGTGGTGTTTATTTCAGAAGTTCCTAAAGAACGAGATCATGAATGATTTTGATGTTCTTCACTGGAGAAGCTTGCTCCTGTTGGGTGCTCTGTCTTCTCTCTCCCTCCCTTCCCCCCATGATCGATAGAGATCAGAGGACTGAATCAAAACCTCACCGAACTCGCTGACCGACAGCTCTCCTCAATGATAAATGTGAATACAACTCGCTCAGGGTGGAGTTTAAGAATGAACATGTTTGCTGCCTTCAAACCGAACCCAAGAACACGCAGTCTAGACAGATTCCGGCAATAATGGCGAAAATCAATCATTGATGGACGTCCGGGGAGCCATGGAAAAGTCTTGCTGATTCTAATGTTTTTCTTTTGATAACCATTTAAAGAAACATACTAACCTAGAGATATCTGAATATTCGGTGCAACCGATCTCTTACTTTTTTTCTCATGGAAAATGTGTACTTAGATCGGAGGGGAGTACTTGTACCATTTCCACGACTCTTCTCATGCGGTAATGTGATACTCTTCCGTGGTACCTCTAGTTCTTCCTTAGCTACGATGGAAAAGGGTTATAGATTTACGAGTAACCCTGCAAATAGACGAAACCTGTTTTATTATAACGTAAAAAACCGCTGTTGGAAGCTCATTGGAGAGTTCATGTCTGGGTTTTGATAGGTTAGACCAGGAAGGCTGGATCGTGTTTCTCCTACCCACATTGCGTCCTCTTTCTCTCTCTCTCTCTCTCTCTCTCTCTCTCTCTCTCTCTCTCTCTCTCTCTCTCTCTCGCAAAAGTGCCCGCGAAGACCTGGCCGGGCCTACTAAAGCCAAGTCTAGGATCGATAGGTCCCTCGTCTGAAGTCTATTTTTCTCCAGTCCCTATCCGGGTCTTGTGAAAGCTTATTGATCTCGGGCTGGTTGAGCAAGACCCGGGCCTAACCTGGTTCCTTGACACCTTACGAATCAGTATACTACGTAGGATTCGAAGAATTATGGACCGCTTAATCATCCGTGTTTACTAATAGTCCATTTCTTTATATCCGGTTGACAATTTTTCCATGACTTCAACATTGAAAAATGGTTTCGTGAGAGAGGTAACCCACGTTTACGTTGACTGCCGCCTTTGGCGGCCCAAATGGCACGGCAGAGCTGTCCCTTCGTGTGATGGCTGAAACCGACTCTCTCCAAAGTGGCGGCCTACGCCTCCGGGGAAGGGGACACACTGATATGTAGTATGGGAGGGAAGAATGGAAGCCTGACGAGAGAGAGGATGCACAACTGGTCAGCGCGCGGGAATGGGAGAGAGGGAGACGGAAACGCTCACAGAGCATATGGCAGGCCTTCACGGCCCTTCTCCTGCCTTCCAGGTGTTCTCCCTCGCCTTGGCCATTGACCCAAGTTCTACAAATGGAGGGCCTTTCGCTGGAGCGGCTTTCGGTAGTCTAACTTGACGCTTCCAAAGGTGACAGAGTTGGAGCCAGGCGACATGATGCTGACCGCCGCCTCAGCACACCACGCCAGCCACAGCGACATTGACCCAAGTTCTGCAAATGGAGGCCATTCACCATGTTTCGGTTTTTTTTTTTTTTTTTTTAGAGCGCGGGGGGTCGAAAAGAATTTAATCTAGTTTACTTACCCATATATACTGTTAATTCATATCAAGTCTGTGGGATTAAACGTCTGGGTTTATTGATTCGTGTTTCAATGGTTAAGAACATCAAGATAGCTGAAAGTGGCGGGGAGCATTAGAAATGAGAGGCACGATGAGGCGTCTGCGATGACCAGAAGCACGAAGAATGTCGGAAGCCTGGCCTCTCAACAATGTCCGTCCAGGATGGCGGCGGCGACCGTGAGACAAACCGCCGCCAATCTCGTTGCCCCTCGTCCATGAGGGAGAGAATCTTGAGCTGGTTGCCCTTCCTTTCCAGCAGCCAGAGGGCTTTATCTCCCACATGGCCACCTCCCTCTCCCTGGTCAAGGCCTTTCTCTGCGGAGCAGTGGGGAACCCACCATTTGCAGTGAGGGGCGTCCCCCCACTGCGCCATGGGAGTTGCAGTAGTGCAATGCGGGGGGCAGAGTGGACTATGTCTGGTCCAGCGTGATCCCCCTGACGAAGGCGGAGAGTCGACCCACTGCCCACGCGCCTCCCTTTGGAAAAGCTCTGGAACCCTCCCAGTGGCTGTGGGCGAGAGCCATCTTGTTCCCTCTTCCTCCCGTCGAGCTAGAAGAAGAGACGACCCAGAAGAGATATCTGAAGACCGCACAGACGTGATGCGGTGCCCGGCAAGAACTGCACTTCTCTATGTCCTCCTCTTGCCAGGAGTCAATCCCAAACCCTAAAGTTTCCGACGACGGAGTTCGTAATGATAAGAGCACGGAGCATGCATAGATCTCAGGTGGTTCCAACTTGGCTGCATCGGTTCGATCCACTCGATCCGCATCCTAAATTCCGCCTTGCTACCCTTCAACGTGAAGGAAGTCCGTGTATAACACGCCACGGGGGAGCTACCCTCCTCAGCCGGTCGCTCTGCCATGGTTGAAATTGACAGGAAGACCCAACGATTCGAGCTAGTTTTGGAGGTCTGTAACACCTATGATCGGTATATATAGTCAGAGTACCTCTTGGGCCTTCCAGTATGCCCTGAACCCAAGCCCAAACAAGGCATCCCTAGCTGGTCCACAGGCAACTTTCACCCAAACCAGTAAAAGAGGGCCGTACATCTTTATACATCCACCGGCAGACCAGTAAAATAAAATAAAGATTACTTTTTAAAGATATAGAACATGAAACACGCAGAAAAGAGGCTATTTTTATATATAAACCGTGAAGACTGACAGTGATCCCGTCAACCCTTTTCTCGCAGTCATCACACGGTCCAGATCCGACCGGTTCCACTGCGTTGGGGGAGAGGAACTCGGTCGGCAAGGACCAGTTCCGCGGTCCAGCTTTCCTGCGATTCGTCCGTCTAGTTTTTCCTCGTGGCTCTTAACATGTCGGTCGCCGGACCGTGGAAGGGGGGGGAGAAAAAAAAAATCTGACCTCGCGGTCTCCCCAGGGCTGCCGCCGCCACACAGCCCGTAAGGCCACAAGACAACCGAGAGGAAGGAGCCACGGGTGGAGAAGAAGCTCCACACGGAACCCCCCCCCCCCCCCACCCTTTCGCTAGGCTCCAAACCCCGGCCTCCTCTCTCGAATGTCGCTGATTCCGCCACGAAACTGATACGGCTGACCAGGCCCGATCGAGCACGCCTCCTTCTCGACATGTGACCCAGAGCCGCTCTCCCGCCGTTAATATCTCGGCCTCTGAAGGCCCCGTTATCGCTCCTCCTCCACGGCTGGTGTGATAAACCTTCCGAGTTCCGGTTGAATCCTCCTTCCTTCCCTACCAACCGGATTCTCAAAGAGCCGCGGGAAAGAGGAGGAGATGGGGCCTCTGGAGGTCGTCTCGCAGCTGGCCACGGGGATCAGCGTGCTGGCGGGCGTCATGCTGGTGAAGACGGCCATGGACGGCAAGCCGATGGCCGGCGGCGGCGGGGGGTGGCCGAGGTGCCCGAAGTGCAACGGCACGGGGCGCGTCGCCTGCATGTGCTCCCGCTGGTCGGACGGCGACGTGGGCTGCCGGACCTGCGCGGGATCGGGAAGGATGGCGTGCAGCAGCTGCGGCGGCACGGGCACCGGCCGGCCGGTGCCCGTCCAGCTCTCGATGAGGCCCAATAGCCCGCCGAACTAGACGGAGCGGGGGAAAGAAGCGGAGGTCGATTAATGCCATCGACGAGGGGGATCGATCGCTCTGTGTATATAATCAGTATTTATAGATCTAAATTTTGCCGCGGTGGGGATGCACCCCCCTTCCCCACCCCCCCCTCTCTCCCTCCGGCGGTAGAAGGGAGACAACGATGATTGTCTCCTCCTCACCCCCCTTCTCAGAACAGATCCTGCAGGAATCAGGCTCTGGAAATTTTACATGCTGAATCGGGGAATTTTTCTCTGGTTCTTGGTCGGCAGAAGAAAAGAATTATTTTTTCTCTTTTGGGCTTCGGTTTTATTTACTATCTCAATCTGGCAGCTTTTTGTCAAGCCTGGATGGATCGAATTGCGCATGGAACTCAATTAGATACGCTAAAAATAGGTATCTGTGAATTTTGTGAATATATATATATATTTCTCTGTTATCTAGGCGTCCGAGGGAGTTAATATTCTTGGTCTGAGATTATAGATATCAAAAACTGATTGTTGATTCAGATTCAAAAGGAATCGGAGCTGAAACAGGACATCTTAGAAACTGCTATCTTTGCCGTGATTTTCCCCCACTTTTGGAGCCGGAAAAGTCTAATTGAAACGTACGGTGGAGGGAGAAAATATGTTTTTCCCCTTCCACCGTATCAAGTAACGAGTTCGCATTCAGAGATCAAGCAACTTCCTCGATGATGCCTGCGTAAAGAGATGAGCTCTCCGATGCTTTCAGAATTGGAAATGACGGTCGCCTGCGCGCCGAATTACCTGGAAGAGAGCTTGTGAGAAATGATGATTGAATGATCCGTTGACTTACGCCCATTGAGATGGGCTTTCAAAAAGATCGCGCCGTTACTGGCCATAGCCTCCCGCTTTCCCGCCGTTTTACGGCAGGCCACCCTCGTCCCCGTCTCTTGTTAGGGTTTATCGTTTTCTCTCATCTGGACATCTTGAACCGCCTGCTGGCACTCTTCGGGAGGTCTTCCTACCATGAGCACGAGAGATGTGGCTCTCGTTTCAGCATCCGTGGTAGGGGGGGCGCTCGCCTCCGCCATCGCAGTCCGCTTCCTCTCTGGATACTGGAGGAAACCCTCCTCCAATGAGGTTGACTCCTTGGCCGTGGACGCCAACCGATCGCTCGAGAATTCCTCTGTACAGTGTCCTTTCGACCCCTCCAAGCGCAAAGGGTTCTTCATCTGTCGCGTTCCTTCCTCCTTTTTCTCATTTACCCGGGTACTGGTGCCTTCACCTTATGATTTTGTTGATCAGGTACCTGTCTTGGGACGATTACTTCATGGCACTAGCCTTCCTCTCGGCCAAGCGCTCCAAGGATCCCAACAGACAGGTAACCCCTTTTGTTCATCCGCATTCCATCTTAATCTTATTCGTGGTCTTACTGCGGTTCTTGTTTACGTTGGTCTGAATGCTTCTGCTGTACATTCCACTATTCGAATCCTACAAGACTCGATGAGAATCTCTGCTCGGCTTCAGCCTCTCGTTCAATTCTGAGAGAAGATCCGAAACCATCTCAGGCAACTCAACGGCCGTTTGTCAGTGGTTCAGTCTTTTTTCCAGAGTGATGATCACTCGTGAGCCTCCCGGCTAATAAATACTGAGCTGTATCGGAGATGAGATTTTCTAAATAAAAATTGGTATTGAATTTCCCTCAGAATGAAGGGCTACTACTCAAGCATACATTACAGGATATGACTCGGAACATCTTCCGCGGCGAACATGGGCTACTGTCATCTCATATATCGAATAATGTCTATGCTAAGCTACGTCAACAATTTTTTAATTTACTCTTTTGCATATAAACCGTATCCATATAAATTCAAACCTTGGCGACTGGGTTTGCTCTTCTTTGTCCTGGGTGTGAATCCCCGAGCCAGTCCTGGGGAAGCTGTCCACCATCAGTAGAGTGGGTCATCCATGCAACTTAGTATCATGGATATGCCACTCCATCTCAATGACTTGACCTTCTTCAGTCTACTTGTTCAGTTCTTCGATGGGTTTCTGATTTGATGTTTTTTATTCTATTTATAATCCTTTGTTTCCGAGCTATAGTCTCCTATTTCAACCCTCTGTTTTTCTTTTCTTATCCGTTGATTCATGATTTACTTATTTTTGGCCCAGACTATTCATCTAACCATTCACTTAAACAAACAAAAATAATGTCTTCTAGGTTGGAGCCTGCTTGGTGAGCCAAGATGGAATAATACTTGGTAAGAAGTGAAAACTCGGATCTCCCAAAGTTGCATTGTCTACTTTCTTTTTAATTTTTTTATATATATATGCATATATTTATGTTGTTGACCTATACATCTTTTTACTGTGGGGAGGACGTTTTATAGGAACCTTAGTTTGGTTAAAAAATATGCAAAATCCCTGAAGATAGAGATGATGAATAATATTTTACATGAAATATCTTATTTTTATGGTTCATTGCTTCCTTCATACATGATCTGAGACTCTGTTGCATGTATATTCGTTCATATTCATGTTTGATATGGTGATGCAGGATGATCCATTTATATCAAATTAATTGAGATAATTATCAAATTACCGTAGGCAGAGAAATACCATGCCTTGTTTAGCGTCTATCCCCTAAATAACTTCAAGTAAATGAAATCAAAGTTACTGATAAGTTTAATAGGCAAATTCGTACTAATCCATGACTCCTCTCCGCGTTGGCTGGGGCTTCGTGCAATCTGAAGTTGCCATTCCTGCTTTGATATGCCACATTTTCTGTTGTTCGATTCACGAGAGATTTGTTGAAATAAATCTTCTTTTTTTTCTGCCATGGAATATGGGAATTTCGTAGTACTCTAATTCTATTTCTGCTTAGTCAGGGATTGGCTATAACGGATTTCCAAGAGGCTGCTGTGATGACAAGCTTTCATGGGCAAAGGTTGTTTTACTAGATTTAGTTATCAGACAATTTCTGGTTAACCATGGGGCTAATTAAATGTAAAACCGTTTCGGCAGCATTTTTCTGCTTAGACCCATTTTTTGCCCTGTAAATTATCTTGTTCTGGTCTGAGAATCGTCGTTTGATGGGTTTATGTGGCCAAATAGGAAGGGAAAAAAGTTCTGAAGGGATTCTCTTGCCCAGTCTAACTGTGTTCTTCCCGTTTGTCTTTCAGAAATCCAGGTCTGGAAACCCATTGGAAACAAAGTACCCGTAAGTGCAATTGTCCGTGGCAAATCTCTCATCTCTCCCCTCGCTATCCTGCTTTCAAGTACTTAGTATCTTCATGTTAACGGATTGAGCGGATTTTAATGTTTTGCCCTGGAACCCCATAGGCTTCTCTTCTTTTCCCTTTGATTGCAGTTCAGCCAACCGTGCTTCGTTACTAAGTAGATAGCTTTGTTTAATTTGCGAGAAAATATGGTCTATTTTCCTGGAAAATGGTATGACTATTATTTCTGATTTCTTGCAGTTATGTATGCCATGCTGAAGTCAATGCTATTTTGAATACTAACCATGCATCGGCAGCAGGGCAGGTGACCTCTGCTTCTTCCTTTCTCTGCTCTCCTTTCCTTTTTTATGGTTTTTTTGTATAAATTTTTACTGCATATTCTTTAGTCACGCCATCTCAGGTCACCATGTACCAGGGCAAGCTGGTAGGTTTCTTTATCTGCTATTTGTTTCTTTCCACCAAATTGACGGCAGAATGCTCTCGTTACACCGTTTGTCTAATGATGTTTTATCAAGTCTTTTGATCTGTATGGATAGTCAATAATAATATTATATTCTTGAAAATTTTGAATATCTATTTATCGCCCTTTTTTGTCTTGGTAGCATGGGATATTTACAGAGTTGTCTGAAGTTGGCTGTGCCAATTTAAACCTTTTCAAGGCTTTTGAACTCTCTCTCTCTCTCTCTCTCTCTCTCTCTCTCTCTCACACACACACACACACACACACACACACACACACAGAATAAGGGTACTGTTGTAGATAACAAGAGAGCGTTCGATTGTCAATAGATAATCGTAAAAATAATTTCACTAATAATGTTCTTCAGGTCCATGCTCAACAGCATAAAGCTGTCAAAATAGACAGAACAGCGATCACAATTCAGCTTTAGCCATTTTCATGCTTGAAAAATCTCAAGAGCAGAGACCTTGGATCATATGGCTCGAACTGACCCTCTTAAACAGACGGATGCTATTCAAGACATGGGTACTCATCCTATCCGCGGGGTCACTCCTGATCCCCTCCTCAACAGGATAAATAAATAAATGCTAATTCTACAATTTTCAAGTATCGTAACATTTGCTTAATAAACATAGAATTTTTTTATTGGATGCTCATTAAAGACATGGCGCATATCCCTTGTGCGCTAGTAGAGTCATGGGCGTCTTGATACACCAAGCTATGCGATGGATCCTGGACTTTCCTGGCATAATTTTGAGTTCAGAAGAGATGTATATTATTTCATCTTTAGAAATCGGCGTTCATCTCAAACTTTTGGATGACTGTTTCCAACTGGCGAGGTAGTTTCAATTATTTAGAACATAATTTCCCCGAGGATTCTTCATTTCTAATCATTGCTCAGTAATCTCTGCAGAGACTCTACGTCACGATGTTCCCTTGCAACGAATGTGCAAAGATTATCATCCAGGTTGGTGCCGTGTTGTCGTCAATTCCACACATATTTCCCTCGTCCTGCTGTTCTAGGCGAAATGTGTCGATATCTGAAATAAGATATTGAGAAGGTTGAAAGGGGTCATTGGTTGACGGAGAAATTCGCTTGCTCTTGCAGTCAGGAGTCTCTGAGGTCATTTATTTTGTTGAGAAGAGGTTAAATGACTCGGTCATGTACACTGCTTCTCGCAGATTGTTATCAATGGCCGGCGTGAAAGTATGTGCCGCTCATAGTGATGTCTATTTTTTTTATACTATTTATTTCATGTTCTCATAATATCTTCTCCACTTCGTAGGTCAGAAAGCACCAGCCACAAATGTCTCAGATTCTTATCAAATTTGAGGAGCCCTGACAGTTGTAGGATGCTCTGCCCCGAGGAATTTGCTCCACTGATGTTCCATCTCAGTACCTCTTCTCTGGCCCCCCCTCGAGGTGATTGATTTCATTACTGCCGGCTTTGGATTCAGGTTGTTTTTATTCAGAAAAATCGCAGCAATTTGGTTTGGGCATCACCGGGTCACAGCCAGGTCTGACCTTGGATCTGAAACCTTCGAGAATAAATGATAGAAGGGTGTTTGATTTAAATCGATATTTCCTTCTACCCACCCCCGAAAATCGCCAGATTATTAAAAACCAGCGGTCTGCGGTCTCAGCCTGGAGAGGCTCTGATTCAGAAGAAGACGCCCAACGATTCTTTGTACATTGCTCTGAAATGATGGGGCCAACGGAGGAAAACACCAAACTTTAATTTAGTTACACACGCAGCCTTCGCATCCACATCAACTCCCCTCTTGTCTGGCCAGCCGAGGCTTCTTCTTCACGTCCACCGCCCGTCCCCTCGTCGATGTCGGCGAATTGCTCCGGCGCCGTCTTCACTTAGGAGAGAAAGCCTGCGGAAGGAGAGGATCAGACGTCGAGTTTCAGCGTCTGAGGGGTAGAGGAAGAAGAACAAGTAGAAGAAGAAGAAGGGGAGGAGGCCATGGCGGGGGAGGGACTTACGGCAAAAATGGTGGCGTGACCGGGGTCGGCGAGGTGGGCGAAGAGGTTGTCGATGGGGCCAGTGCCGGTGTAGATGTGCTGGAACCAGGCGCCTATCACGGCGAGCATGGCCAACCGGCCGTTCTTGATCTCCTTGGTCCTCAGCTCCTTGATCTTCTCCGGGGAACCGGATCCCCAGCCGAGAGGATCGAACCAGAGGCCACCGGGGTAGCCCACGTCGGTGCCGGTGAGCTTATTGTTGGGGAAGATGGGGTCGGTGTTGACGGACCCTGGCTTGATGATGTCGGCCCATCGCCGGCCCTCCGCCCAGCCGATCAGCACCAGCTCCACCACGAAGAGCGTGGTGGTGTCCGTGAAGTACTCCTGCTCCCCGGCGGTGTACCAGGACGGGGTGTTGAGGATACCGAGCTTCGTTAGCAGCTCCGGGATGAAGATCCCTGCGGCTCCGAGCATCGCCCATCTGCAGTGCACCAGCTCCGCCTGCTGGTTCCACCTCAGGCTCTCCGGGTCAGACCCTGGTTTCAGAGTAGTTTCCACGGTCAGCGAAAGGCCATTTATTTCCTCCTGATCGAGAGAGAGGACGATCGAACAGGAAGTCAATGGGGATCGAACTCACCGAGGCCGAGAGGGTCGAACCCGAAGTCTCCGGGGAGGCTGAAACCAGGACGCCCGCAATCTTCAGCGTGAGTATCTCCATCGATCGAAAGCTCTGACGAAACGGGGTACGGAGAGAAAGGGAGTCAAACCTGCCGTCGAGCCATGCGGGAGGGGTGCTCCCTGGGAACCAGAGGGGCCTCTCGGGATCCGCCGCCGCGGCCGACACGGTAAGCCCTCGGGGAGCTACAGCGTGGGCCGGCCACCTCTCCTGCCTCAGCTTCCTCCCGCCGAGGAAGGCGGCCCTCGTCGCTGCCAGCCCATTCCTACCCTTCTGCGAACTGCACCATCGTCACCGGACTGGGTAAATCTCCCACGTTGATCACAAAACAAAAACTCGAAGAGAATAAACCTTTCCGCGGGCACAGCGAGCGAGAGAGAGAGAGGGAGGGAGAGAGAGTCCTGCCTGGCGACGGCTGCAACAGCAGAGGAGGACGCGCAGATGGAAGCCATGGATGGAGAGCTCGGTGCGCCTGCGAAAGACGGTGGTGTTGATGGGAGGAATAGGGTATGGGAGGTGACGTTTAAGCTGTAAGAGGGAGGTGTGGGCTTATCTTTGGAGGATAGGGGATTGGCCTTCCGATTCGCTGGAAATCTCAGATCTGCTCCTACACCTCAGGATTGCCGCTGACCTGGATAAATCTGGGAGCTGGTGGCCAGCGAGCTCCGGAAGCCACAATCCATGGGACCCCCGTTGTCCCCTCCGCATTAAAAAAATCCGACCTCCACAGGCCGCCGCTGGGGGGTGGCGGCGGTGGCGCTGGGCGGCCTTCCCCATGAGATCAAAGCACTCCATCTCTTACTATGGGAGTGAACCCTTCCGAACTTCATTATTTGGAAAGGCAACGCCAAGAGGAATTTGAGCATCATTAGGAATGAAGATGATGCCAAGACGCTTAGAGATCACGTATAAGGACAGGGTATTAGAATATCCCATCAGTGGTGACGTTAATCGGAATGAAGGGTAATTGGTTTGACGAAATTCATGACCATTCCGCCTATTTTAACTATTTACCATTCATTTTAATTACGAACTATATGTCCGAGTAGTGATGGGAAACATTAACCCAATGTGGATATATACCCACATAATGCACCACTCATATATTCTGGGCCTCAAATGACTTGGAAATGAATTACCAAAGAAAACATATTTTTTCTCTCCACATCCACATTTTGGATTAATGCTGCCTAATTCTCCCAAAACACCAGCTATAGGATAAGTCCTCATTTTTTTGACCTATTGATGCAAGGCCATGTAAAATACCTTGGAATTCATATCTCTAGTTAATTAAAGGAATATTTGTCAAGACATTTATATATTATTATTATTTCTTTGAGAGAACAATGTTAATTTGTTAAAGCTTAATAATGCCTAGTCAAGATACGGGAAGAGAGACCTAGAGTGGTCAAAGAGAGGGATCAAGACAATTAGATGGACCCAACAAGAGAAGTAATTACTAAAATAGTAAAAGTTGAAAAATAGTAAAAAAATTACAGGCCCAACCACTTTGGAATTAGATTTTAAGAAGTAATTACTAAAATATGGCACAAAAGATAATTTGACTCAATGAAATTTGAATATAATTTTATGTCTCTATTTTTTAGAGTATATTTAAAATTTTATTCAGAGTAGGTCAACGTCTATTTCAAGTTACTTTAGAATTTGTTAAAGTATGTTCCAAGATCTATTTATGACCCTTCCTTTGGAAAAGTCGTGTCTCCATTATAAGCCCATATAAAGAACTTTATTGTAACCTAAGTTAATTGAAGTATTAGAAATTTTCTTCTCCTATCATATCACCTTCTTTCTACTTGTGAATTCAAGTGCTTTTTGTGGATTCAATAATCTCCTTTTTGATCATGTGGATTCATGGTCACCTTTTCTTTTATGAATTCAAGTATTGAAGTTCTTAGTTCGATGAATTCATAACTTAATTTCTTCTTCAAGATTCATATTTTGTGAATTTAACACTATATACTCTAGTTGTTTATATCAACACAATGTAAATTAGTATTAAAGTATTTTTTTCATTCAATATTCATCTTTAGAGATGTCCAAAGGTAAGAGAAATCATATCAACAAAGATGACAATATTAAGATATATTATTTCTCACATAAATATCATTTTTAACATCATCTTGATTAAATATTCAAGAGGTAAATGAGACTCTAAAATAACCTAAAAGGATATTGATTTCAAACATACTAAAAAATGTGTTTCCAATAAAAATCTCAATAGTAGCCATTCTACAGTTCTTTTTGAAAAGTCTAGAAGTCGATTAGAAGATAATATTGAGATGTTTGTATGAAAATTGATTTACTAAACTTTAATGCTCATTCACTTTCACACATCAAAAAGTTCTTAGATTAGTGGGCTGAAGCTAAATGTTTTTTTTAATATATAAAAATTTCAACTGAAAACAAGTAAAATTAGTTACTTATAAATTAAAAGACATAACCTTTGTATGGTGGGAGCATCTACTATTGACTTGTGGTATGTACTTCAATGAACCTTTTTGCACTTAGGACAAAATGAAGAAAATGCTTAAATATCAATTTCTACACCAAATTACGAGAAAATTTTATATTAGTAATATGAAAATTATAAATAAGATATTCATTATATTTTAGCATATGCTATAAAGGAGAAAGTTTCATTACAATCATTTTTCAAATTAAATTAGTCAAGGCATCTGTATGTATATAATCTATGTCAAAGAAAAATAAAAAATATCTTAAAATTGTAACAACAAAATTTCAAATTTCCAACAAAAGTGATTCAAGTCAAATGATTTACCTCAATGAAGATCATTAGATGAGGAACAATGTCTACACCAAGCCCAGATAGAGTAGTATCTTATAGGGAAACTTTTTTAGTTAGAAATCTTTGTCCCAAATGTTATTTCAAAATGTGGTGAAGAAGGAGACACATAGAATATGAAAGTGTAGACAACTTTTTTTATTGAATTTGAAAATGAAGACATACTATTTCATTCACTAGTGACTAGAAGACTTACGTATAGAAAAAGAAAAAGCAATGTATTCATATTGATATGATATTTTTAGCACATGGTGCACAATAAATAACAAAGTATGTGATGTGATTATTGATAACATATTATAATAAAGTTTTGACAATATAGTTTCTTCAAGTATAATATAAAAAATAAGTTGAAGACAGCCACACTCACATTCATAATAGATTGGTTGAATAAAAAAATATATCAAAACTATAATTTCTGAAACATGTGTGATGAAATTTTTCATAAATATGTTGACAAAATTTAGTGTGATATAGTCAAGATAGATGCATGTCATATGATTTTGGGAAGATTTTGATAGTTTGGAAATGGTACTACAAATCATGGCAAATAAAATCTTTATGTTTTATGTAAGAATGATAAACAAATCTATCCTACGTCAAAGGAAAGAAAATATTTTTTAAAAATGAAAAATGAAAAGAATAAGACAACCATGCTCTTGATTAGAAAGAATTTCTCAATAACTTAGATGATGAGCTCGATTTATTTATAGTTGTTTAAAAGTTAAAGTCAACTTTGTAATTTACTAAAACTATTCTCTAACTGGTTCAACATATATTATCTATTTTTTTTTTGTTTTACAAGATATGCCTAATCATGTTACTCCTATACGAGATATCTATCACCATATTGATTTCATTTTAATATCAACTTTACCTAATTTTTCACATTACATCACGAAACCAAAGAAAATTAAATTTTATAAGAACATGTTGAGTTGATATTCAAAAGATTGATTAAATAAAGTATAAATTTGCTCCATTCTTCCTCTATTGATTTTTTTAAAAAATTACTTGACGTGTGTGTCAATAACATAGCATGAATCAAGATTGCTCTATTAAATTTACACCCTGATTTTCTTTAATGATTATGGGAGGCCCTCACCCCAAGATTGTTGGAATCAAGATTGCACAAGTAAAACATAGAAGGAAGAACAACTCAGAAGAACCATGAATCCTAGTCCCCTCAATTGTGGCAACAAAATCATAAGTGTTTGTCAATTAGAGGAAAATGTGATGAGACAAAAGGAGGAAAGGAGGAAAGGAAGAAGAGCATGAATTGATTAGATATTGGGAAATAAAATACCATGAGGCTCACTCTCGAGTAAGAGAATCTACTAGATAGTGGGTTCTTAAAACTCTCCCAAGGAAATAAAGTAGTGGCCCTTAGAGAACATGGTCCCTAGGAAGAATAATTCTGAATTAAAAAGAAACACAGAACATGTTGAAAATTAATACACTTACCCATGTTAGAATACATAAGGCTTTGCATATTAAAAATAAGGCTCATGACTAAATTGACACATCAACAAAAAATGTCTTTTATGTCTCACCCCTAGGGAGAACACATCAGAAAAACACTCTAACAACTCTAGTAACTCAATAGGGTAGGAAATTATGAAGAACATGGTGCTTCTTCCAAGTAAAAGGAGCAAGAGGTGTAGCCCATCTAAATTTAATGCCTTCTAGTAATTATTTCATATGAGGAAGAATCTCATAAATCTCATCTAGCCAATGTAAAAAAGACCTTGACATAACAACAAGATACCTTAGAATACTCATGACAATCAAACCCCAAGAAAATTACACCAAACAAGCAGCATCTCACTCATCAAAGAAGAATAGACCCTTGACGAATATTAAATTTAAAGAGAACATGATGACTAGGGTACTTAAGATGTATGAGGAGGGTCCAACCAAGGAAATAAGTTGATAAGATGATAGTGAGGAAGTGAAGTTGAGAAATTCATGTGAATTCGATTTTGAGAATCAAATCAAGGAAGATTTTGACACATAAGTGAACTGGATTGAAATAGATGAAAACATCATTATGATCAACTCTGAGGAGTTGGATGATGGGACATTATATATTTATAGACAAAGAAGATGATCAACTAGACTTTTAAGTAGTTAGCTAAGTCTACTGGGGACTTAGAAGACTAAATAAGTTCAACTTTAGAGGGAATGAGAACCCTTTGATATATGGGTTTGAATTTCAAATCCTATGACATTAACATCTAAAGAAGGAAGATGGGGTAGAAGAAACACTTGGTGGTGGCCAATGATGACAATAAGGGCTCCACTAAATAGGTAAATACGTGCAAGACATGTACATAAGATTAATTAGCCTTAAGTAACTCTCATTACATTGTGTAGCATCTTAATGCACATATTTCTTTTAAATTATTCATTAGTAAAATGAAATGTCAACTCTTTGAATGTAATCAATGTAATAAAAAATAAGAGGAGTGAACTTATATTTGAAGGAAAAATAATGTGAAGAGTAATTAAGTAGACATAAAGTTCAAAGAGATGATTGTTGAACTCTCTTAAATATGTCATTCCCTATAGTCATCCTATTAACATACCTCGGTGCTAGATCTCTTAAAACATAGATAAATCCTAAAT